GTTTTAACTAGAGGAGGCAAGAGATACTTCATAACATTTATAGATGACTCTAGGTACACCTATGTCTACCTTATGAGAACTAAGGATGAAGCCTTTGACATGTTTAAACTGTACAAGACTGAAGTTAAAAATCAACTAGAAAAGAAAATTAAAATCCTTAGAAGTGATAGGGGTGCTGAATACTTTAAAAATGAGTTTAATTATTTCTGTAGAGAATTTGGAATAATACATTAGTGTTTTGCTCCCTATACCCCTCAACAGAATGGCCTGACCGAAAGGAAAAGTAGAACACTTATAGAAATGATAAACTGCATGTTGTTAAAAGCTAATGCACYCTTAAACCTGTRGGGGGAARCACTCCTAAYAGYCTGCCATTTACATAACATAATTGTTTCTAGAGTTAATAACAAATGCCCATATGAATTATGAACAGAAAAAAAGCCTAATTTAGCATATTTAAAAGTGTGGGGGTGCTTAGCATATTATAGAGTTCTAGATCCTAAAAGAACCAAGTTAGGACTCAGAGCTAAGAGAAGTATGTTTGTTAGATATGCAGAACATAGCAAGGCCTATAGGATTCTAGACTTAGAGTCAAACATAATAATTGAAACTAGAGATGTTAAATTCTTTGAGAATAAACTATGTTTTGAATCTACAGAAAATGAATCCATAAAAAATGACAGAGAACTTGAAAGAGAAACTCAGATTTCAATACCTGTTGATAATAATGAGACTGAAATAAGAAATGACACAATTGTAACACCTATAATAGAACCTACAGAAGTCAAAGACAAAGAACAGAGAAACACTTAGGTTCAAATTTTATTTCTACTCAGTCATTTGTATTTTTGGTTGAGACTGATAGATAGAAGATTTTAAATAAGATACCCATTGTCTTAAACATTGAAAATGATCCAAAAACCTACAATGATGCCATGACCTCTAGAGATGTTGCCTTTTGGAAGGAAGCTATAAATGATGAAATGGTTTCAATAATGTCAAATAACACATGGGTACTAGTAGACATGCCTCCAAGATTAAAACCAATCAAATGTAAATGGGTGTTTAGAAGAAAATACAACACTGATGGAACTGTACAAACTTTTAAGGCAAGATTGGTAGCCAAAGGATTTAGTCAAAAGGAAGGGATTGATTACTTTGACACCTATGCACCAGTGGCTAGAACAACTTCTATTAGAACACTCATAGCATTAGCATCCATTTATCACTTATCTGTTCATCAAATGGATGTTAAAACTGTTTTCTTAAATGATTATTTAAATGAAGAGGTTTATATGGAACAACCAGAATGATTTGTTCTTCTTGGAAATGAGAAGAAAGTCTGTAAACTGGTTAAATCACTATATGGATTAAAACAAGCACCTAAATAGTGGCATGAGAAATTTGTTTCTTGCATTCTAGCTTTTGGTTTTAAACATAATAGTGCTTATTGCATCTACTCAAAATTCACTAAAAATTATGGAGTAATTGTATGTCTTTATGTTGATGATATGCTTATTGTGGGTACAAATATGGTTGGCATAAATGAAACTAAAAACTACTTATCCTTTGCCTTCAAGATGAAAGATTTAGGAGAAGTAGATACCATCTTGGGAATAAAAGTTAAAAAGCATAGTATGGATTATGCATTAAGCCAATCACATTATATTGAGAAAGTACTTGAGAAATTTAAGCATTTAGGGTTTAAAGAATATAGCACGCCATATGATTCTAGTATAAAGCTAGTAGAAAATACTAGTAGAGCAATTGCAAAACTTGAGTATGCTAGTGTATTAGGAAGCTTGATGTATGCTATGCTTTGTAGTAGACCTGATATTGCATTTGCAGTAAGTAAATTCAGTCGGTTTACAAGTAATCCTGGTGCAAAGCACTAGAAGGCAATTGGGAGAGTTCTTGGGTATCTCAAGAGAACCTTGGAACTTGGCTTGTTTTATTGTGATTATCCAGTTATACTAGAAGGGTACACTGATGCAAGTTGGATTTCCGATAATGGAGATAACAAGTCCACATCTGGATGGATTTTCATCCTTGGTGGGGGTGCGATCTCTTGGGCATCCAAGAGACAAACTTGTATATCTCACTTGACCATGGAATCTGAATTCATAGCCTTGGCAGCTGCTGGAAAAGAGGTTGAATGAATTAGGAATTTATTATTGGATATAAAACTTTGGCCTAGTCTTATGCCTCCAATTTCCATTTACTGTGATAGTGAGGCAACTTTGTCAAGAGCCTACAGTGGTACCTACAATGGTAAGTCCAGACATATAAGTCTGAGACATGAATTTGTTAGGCAACTGATTCAAGATGGAGTCATCACTATAACCTATGTGAGGTCAAGTAAAAACTTGGCTAATCCTCTTACTAAGGGCTTGGCTAGAGAATTGGTAAGAATGACAACCAAAGAGATGAGATTAAAAACCTTTACTTAGTCACCTGTAATGGTAACCCGACCTGAACTGAAAAACCATTAGTATTGGGTTTAATGGGTAACAACAAGTTACAACAATATGACTGTTAGCATTGACATTGAGAAATTTTCCATCACAACATAAAAAGTGGTGTCCGTTATGATGAAAGGTTGAGTTAAACTCTTAGTGAAGTTCTGAAATGTGTCAAATAACGGAACACATAGTGGAATTTCACCTATGTGAACATAGAAGTGGTGCCGCTTCTCATGAGGGTTTGGGTTTGCTCTCGGGATTGTTCATGAAACCAGGAAAGAAGTACATGGCCATAATAGTGCTGAGCAAAACTTGAAACTCTTGTAGAGACTGGACATTTTTGTGTGTATGTGTGTCTCTGGTCTATCTTGAGAGTAATTGGTTTAAGGTCTTACCACCAATAACTTTGACAAGGATCTGAGATATCTATACTAACAAAAGGTTTAAGTTGATAAGCACCTTTTGTATGCATAACTGTGTCATAGTAGTTTGGATTGAGAGAGAACTATGTAATTGATCAATCAATGTGGGGGATTGTTGGATTTTAATCTCATAAGAGATTAAATCCAATGGATTTGATTGGTTAATTACATGATAAATTGCACCTGCACACTTGATTGGAAAATTAGCTCTTTTCTTACAAAACCCAGTTTTGAACTTGTTCCACATTGGAAAATTATAAGTTTTGTTTTTAGTATTTTAATAGGAGCTGATTTACACTCCTTAGAAATAGTAGAGGAGAGTATGGGGGTTTGATACCGCGCAACGCGTGCGCATGCGCGTGCACGCGTGTGTGCGGCGCAATGAGGCACTATAGAAGCGCACTTTGCTCGCACGCGCACCTGCGTGGCTCGCAAAGGACGGCTTTGGTTTTGGTGCGATGCTGACCGTTGATCACCGTTGATGAGATCAACGATCACCATTCGATCGAGTGTGATCAAGAGGCATAATTCAAAGTTAACAGTCATTGACTGTTAACTACCTTTTAAATAGTTACAATGTTTGAAATTGTGACTATTCAAGGTGCCTTCTCTGAACCAGCACCTACCTTTTTCTTCATACCTCTTCATAAACTATTTAAGGAGCATGAATCAGACTTCAAAAACACACATTTTTGAAATCCACTTTCTCTCTCTCTCTCTCTCTCAATCCGGTCTGCTATAGTCTCATAGAAGGTTTTTTCGGAGATTCTTCAACTTTGCTGGTTGCAGATTCTTGCCCAAGGCTCTGTTATATCTTGGGAACGGATTTGCCTGTAACCCAATAGCAAACTCAGTGAAACTAAGTGGGGGCAAATAACGTTCTAAAGATAGTGTCTTCAGGCGCGCCTCAGAGCTTTTCCTCCAAAGTTACAGTGACCCCATTTCCTAACACTTTGGACCCTTTAGTCATCACTCGGCTCATAAGTGAAATTACCTTGTTGCCCTTGGCCCATTCCAAGCAGCAACAATTGACATTGTCTGTGGGATACATCACTAAGTCTTCCCTAAACTAAACTTATACTCTAAAAAGCTCAATAATTAACTCCCAAACTTTAGCCGATATGGCAATAAACACTAGGAGCACTCAGAACCTGGTTACAGTGGACCAACTCTAAGTGGTCCTCGACCGACTTGACAACCTCGCACAAAGGCTGGACGAGGTGGGGCCCTTGGCAGGAGACCGCCCTTAGGGTAGCCGCCCCATTGGGATCCTGGGGCATCATGGGGAACGTGCGTCCCCAGACCCGTTAGCCATCGGCGTAGTCGGATCCAACAGGGCCGACTTAGTGTCCAACAACAACAAACGTGCCAGTCAGCCGCCGATGACCTCTCGACCCCCCAACCGAAGGGGGGATGAATCAGCATAGTCTTGTGATCATCGCCGAGACCCAAGATATCACTGCCGCTGACGAGAAAGCCCCTAGGACAAAGGTGGGCGATCAGGCAATCACAGCCCCCTATCTAGGGGTGAGGGCCGATGTCGTGACTCTCCCTCTTGGGTCTCGGACCTCCGAGACCTCCTAAATGATTAACGAGCCCGAAGAGACAGAAATGTGCCAACGTCAAAGCACTTTGGGAATTGGACCAACCCCTTCCGCGTTCGGGAGAACTAGGGCGAGGCCTAGGCCCCCATCGACCAAAAGATTGTCGACCTCCAGGCGTAGCTCGGTGCCATCAAGGACGAGCTTTGCCAAGTCAAAGAGAGCAGAGTCGATGCCTTGGCAAGTCAGAACCCCCTATCTGGAAGAATGGACGCCTTCACCCTACACATCATCTCTGAGCCTCTATCATCGCACTTCAAAGCGCCAACGCTCAAAATGTATGATGGAACAACCGATCCGGACAACCACCTGGAAAGTTTCAAGGAACTCATGCTCCTTTACAGATACTCAGATGCCCTGACATGCGAGACTTTCCATGCTATCTTCAAGGGGGCGGCCTACCGATGGTTCTCCGGGCTCCCCCTTGGTTCACCAGTTCATGGGAACAATTCGTCAATCTCTTCCTCTTACACTTCATCAGTAGTCGGCGATGCCAAAAGAGCGTCGCCTCACTCATGGATGTTCGACAGAAGCACGATGAGAGACTGTGGTCCTACATCAACCGCTTCAAGAAGGAGGAGCTTGAGGTCCGGGATGTCGACCCCATGGTCTCCATGAACACAACCATCAATGGCCTCTTGTCGGTCTCAGCTTTCAAGTGCTCGGTAGCCAAGACACCGCCCAGGTCTAAGGCAGAATTTTTAAAGAAGGCCCATAAGTACATCGCTGTGGAGGAGGCCTTAGTGGGAGATTGCCAGGAGGAAGAGGCTGACCACCATTGTGGAGGCCCAAAGAAGAAGAGAAGAAGCAGAGACAACCGCAATGACAACAACAACAACAACAGCAAGGACAGCGAGAAGCTATTGGCCTCGGCCCTAGCTTATAGAAAGTACACGCCACTCAACTCCACCCGAACACAGATTCTCAAGCAAGTAGAGAAGGAGGAGTACATGAAGTGGCCAAAGAAGATGAAGAGAAACCCCAAGAGGGGAAATCCAAAGAAGTATTGCAAGTACCACCATAGCACCGGCCATGATACTGAGGATTGCTATGAACTCAAGAACGAGATCGAGTCCCTCATTCACCATGGTCATTTGAAGCAATACATGGGGGGCAAGGCCGGCGCCTCATCCTCGCAGCAACAACAGTTAGCAGGTGTCATCGATGTCATCATTGGGTGCTCGGCCTTGGCTCGAAAGGCCTACGCTAGGCAGTTGAACATCCAGAGGTTGGCTCTCAAGAAGTTGAAGCAGGACGAAGCCCTCACCTTTACAGATGAGGATCTGAAGGGGATCTTAGTCCCCCATGATGACGTGCTGGTTGTGTTTTCCATTGTCATGAATTTTTTGGTGAAGAGGATACTTGTGGATAGTGGCTCCTTCACCAACATCCTCTTCTATGACGCTTACGAAAAGATGAAGTTGGCGCCTGAACGCCTCGAGTCGGCAGATGTGCCACTTGTCGGCTTCTCTAGAAATGTTGTTAGACTAGAGGGGGAAATCACCCTACCAGTTATGGTAGGGGCAAAGCCTCGGTAGGTGACGAGGATAAACGAGTTCCTGATCATGAAGATTTTCTCCCCTTACAACGCCATTATTGGGCGACCAACCCTCCACACACCCAAAGCAGCCATCTCCTCTTACCACTTCGTCAACAAGTTCACCACCGAACACTGTGTCAAAGTTGTATGGGGGGACCAACAAACCTTTTACTAGTGCTATGTGGTGGCACTGAAGGGTAAGAACAAGGAAGCCTTTTCTCTAAGGGCCTTGACCTCAAGGGGGAGCCAACTAGTTGAGGCCAACCAGCCAAGGACCTTGTCTCAGTTCCCCTAGACGAGGTCGAGCTCGAAATGACAGTTCACGTCGGGTCCAACCTTCCCCCAAAAAGCCTATCTAAACTAGTAAGTTACTCAAAACTAATGTCGACGTCTTTGCTTGGTCTACCATTGGCATGCCTGGAATTGACCCTTCAGTCATTACTCACAGGCTAAGCATGGACCCGAGCTCTAGGCCAGTTCAGCAGAAAAAGAGGAACTTTGCACAAGAGCGATGAAAGGCCATAGGAGAGGAAGTTGACAAATTACTCAACGCCGGCTTCATCTAAGAGGTACATTATCCTAACTGGTTATCCAATGTGGTTATGGTGAAGAAAGCTAATGGAAGTGGTGGATCTGTATTGACTTTATAGACCTCAATTAAGCCTGCCCCAAAGATAGTTTTTCTTTGCCGAGGATAGACCACCTCGTCGACGCCACCATAGGGTACGAACTACTTAGATTCATGGATGCCTTCTCTAGATACAATCAAATTAAGATGCACCTCGAGGACGAGGAGAAGACCTCGTTCATCACCAAGCATGGCACCAGGGCCACCTACAAATGCCTTGTGAGCAAAGTCTTCATTCCCCAGATTGGGAATAAACATCAAATCCTACGTGGACGACATGGTTGTGAAGAGCCTGAGTGCTAACCAACATACCTCAGACCTAGCTGAGACCTTTGACACCTTGTGGAAGTTCAATATGAAGCTCAACCCCAGCAAGTGTGTCTTCGGCATCAGCTCAGGCAAGTTTTAGGTTTCATCGTCACGTAGCGAGGCATAGAGGCTAACCTTGAAAAGATATGAGCCATACTCGACATGGCACCACCTTAGTTGATGAAGGAAACTCAGAGGCTTACTGGCCAAGTGGCTGCCCTCAACTGCTTCATGTTGAAGTCGGATGAACATTGCCTACCCTTCTTCCGGGCCATTAAAAAGTTGAAGGATTTCTAGTGGATGGAAGAATTCCAATATGCCATCGAAGAGTTGAAGACATACCTTGCCTCACCTCCCCTCCTCACTCGGCCACTTCCAGGAGACGTGTTGTACCTATACCTCTTGGTCGGGGACGAGGCCCTCAACTTGGTATCGATAAGGGAAGATGGAGTGCAGAGACCGATCTACTATGTCAGCATGGTCTTTTATGATGCCGAGACCCAGTACCCTGAAGTGGAGAAACTGGCCTTCGCCTGAGTGGTTGACGAAAGCATGAAAATGTATATATCTAAAGTGTGCTCAACAATTTACATTTGTAAAATAAAGAGCTTAAAAGTAATATTTTCCTTAATAATTTTATAAATATCAATTTTATTATTTGTGCAATTTTTATGCTGAAAGAATTAATAATTGAATGGTGGAAAGCCCAAACATAGGTCTAAGAAACCCAAACCCAAGTTCCATGACCCAAGTATGAGTGCTGATTCGTTTCCCGCTTTACTGTGAACAGGGTTCGGTATTTTGGGCATATCTTTCTCTACAAATGTCGAAATTCAGTGATTCTTGAAGATATGGATAGCTAAGAGATAGGGTTACAATTCATCTGTTGATAACTTCCTCAAAATCAATCTTTATTCAGACGAAAATTTTGGGATAAGACGAAGATCCGGGCTGAACAGATTGAGGAGCCTGGCAGCACAAAAAAAAGGAAAAATCTGACCAAAAAGGGAGGGGGGGGGACGACTTGCAGAGGTTATTTTGGCATTATTTTCTCAGTCTTTCACAGAAGAGAAGAGGGGAGAATGATGTCCAAGCATGGCTAAAGCTTCAACAAGGCTTGGGAGGACCTTGATCAACGAGTTTTACTTGTTATTTTTTCTTTGATTCCTTGAGAGATTTCAATTTTAATTTTGTTCTTGAGAGATTTCGTTTATTATTTTAACAAACCCTAAAGTCATTCTCTTTTTATGTGCAATTTTTTAGAAAATAATTGATTGGGTAGATTTATTTTATGAGTTGATCCTTGACTGCAATACTGTCGATCTGATATGTTGTCGTTCTTGGGTAGCTTGTAAGAATAGATCATTCGGTTCTTCATCGAAAATTAATTCTTTTGGAACAAATACTTTTGTTCTTGTCATTGGTTTCAAAGTTATATTTTCTGATTGCTTGTTTGAGATGTGAAACCTGCAATTGAGAAATGAATATGAATCAAAGTCAAGACCAGTTAAGCAAATCGATCAAGTGAATCTCGAAATCTTGTTCATCACAATCTACTTTTCATCCTTTTATTATCGTTATTTTTATTCAAATATTTTTGCTCTTCTTTTTAATTTTAGAAAATCATTTTTTCTAGGTTATTCACTCTTAGCAATAACTCCTTTTGTTGGTTTAATTAGCTTCTCTGTGGATTCGACACATAAAGCTACGCTTCAACGACCGCTTAGCCAAGAGTAATAATTTTGGGTGAGACAGTGGTCTCGACTAAGATGTTCAGGCCATATTTCCAAGCCTACACCATTACGGTCCTGACAAACTAACCCCTCAAAGCCGTCCTCTCCAAGCTATAGGTCTCGAGATGACTGAATAAGTGGGCCGTCGAGCTATCTGAATTCAACCTACAGAACTAGCCAAGGCCGGCGATTAAAGCACAAGCCTTGGCCGACTTTTTGGCAGAATTCACCTTAAGCCAAGCCCTAGAAGAAGAAAGACCTCAGCCAGCAGAGGAACCCAGGCCTACTTGGAAGTTGTTTGTTGATGGATCATCCAACTCTAAAGGAAGTGGAGCTAGCTTCATAATCCTCACCCCAGAAAACACCGAAGTAGAATACGCGTTGAGGTTCGACTTCTTGGCCTCCAACAATGAAGCTGAGTACGAAGCCCTCCTCACTGGCCTACAACTCGCAAAAGACGTCGGTTTCTAACACATTGAGGACTTCAGCGATTCCCAGTTAGTGGTGAACCAAGTCAACGGTGAGTACTAGACTAGGGAACGTAACTGAAGGGATGAGAGATCCATCATATGGATGGCTGAACCCTGTAGGAAGGTTGGGCAAATTTTAAAAAATTTCTCTCTCTCTCATTTGGGAATCACATTCCCTATTTTAGAAAACTGCACTTTCAAGGATCAATCTTGAAGCTAAACTAGACTAGATCTGAAACCAAAAGGGAGTGGAGGGGTTATACCTGATACGAAGTAACAATAACCTCCAATAAGTAGGATGACTCTTTAGCAAGAATCTGATGGAGGGCTAGTGAGCACGACTTCAGATTACCTTTTCTACCAAAAGGTAATATCAAGAATTCTTCTTGATCATTCCCACAAGTGGAGATCAAACTAGTATGGCAGCAGGAGTAGGAGAGAGCAAGAGTAGAAGACAGAAGCAGTCAAACTGTATGTTGTCCTCTCTCTTAAATTAGTAGACTGATGGATGAATTGGAGGTTCACCCTGCTCCTCTATTTATAGCCTTAAAGAGAGGTTCTCCTAATCCCATTAGAAGTTTCCTAATCTAAATCTTGTATTTGGATCTGGACTCTCTTTAAGAGATAAGGATAATCCCTTATCTTATATATAGATAAAGATCAGCCCTCCTAATCTAATTAGGAGTTTCTTGATCTAAATCTCTATTTGGATCTGGACTCTCTGAGTGGATAGGGACAATCCCTTATCCTATCCGCTGATCTAAATCCTAGAACCGCCCCTCCTTAATTAATCTCATTAAGCCAGTTCGAATTGCGCTTTAGGCCCATTAAGTCTATGTGCTCACTTACCCTCCAAACTGCTGCCCAGTTGGATATCCTTGTATTGCGTGGGACCCAAACATTGATCTACACATCAGCCACATGGGTTCAGCCTAGCCTCTATTACAAGGCCTGGCCGAATTCACTATAGGAGACAGTGAACCCCTGAGTCCATCACCATGGGCTCTTAATGGGCCCAGCATTTACACTAAATGGTCCTTGGGTCAAATCACCTTATAAAAAACCTAAGGACTGTGCGCAGATGCAAGATGAGCCCATTAGGTATTACCCTCAATGGTCATACACTTAACCTCTCAGCCCATAATGATCAAACACTGCCCGACAAGAGAGGATCTCTCCCTTGATTGCAAGGTATAGTGCTGCACTCTCCACTCACATGGATCTTGGGAATTAAAACCTTTTGCAAACATTTTGAAACCATAATATATATGTATATCTATATATAAATATATTTTGCAAAACAATTTTCAACGGTTGAAATCAACTGCCGGTAGTTTAGGTTTCCATCAGAGAGAATGCATCCCCGATCATTCACTTTGTTCGACAAAGGGGCTGATCCTGTCACTATGATCATCCACTCAGATGAATTCTCAGACTGTCACAACATACCCAGGTTTTGACCCCCTCTAAGGATCTCACTGATTGGCATATCAAAGACAGCCTAATCCGACACCTAGTGTAGTATCATAATCGAGTCTAGGGGTCAGGTGTTACATTCCAGTTTTGCCCATCTATCTCCAAGGTCTAGGGCAATATTGGAATTCTGGTCCGGTTCAGGGTTTCAAGAAAACTCACACTGCATGTACCTCAAGTCTCACCCTGGCAGTTGAGACAAGCCACCCCAACCAACATGGCGGCACATCAGTGTCAGCCTTGGCAAGATAAATCTCCCTAATCTATCCAATGATAACATGATAACATGAATCAAATATGTACTTTATTCATTTACATTAATGTCATAATGTACCAAAGGCCTCTGGTCCGACGAACTCAACAGTGTTCTATGGGCTTACCGGAT